CCAGATCTGCAGACTTGACCACATTCTGGTAACAATAGTGGTGTCATTGTCAGACTAGAGCACCAATCTTCTTCTTTCTTATCTCCACTCAATTATATTAGGGTATCAAGCTTGCAAAGCTTGAGATTGACAACCATCATGACTGGGTGAAGTAGAATGGGTCTGCCTTTGTCATTAAGACTTGGGAGCATTACTCAGTGGCAGGCCGACTTAGAGCACCAATGATAAGGTACAATTTACACTCATGGATAAAACTTAAGGAAGTTGTACCTTTTAGCATGTATATCAGGTTTCAGACAACTCTAAAAGATATTTGATAAACAGTGACCTTTATTGAAGACCGACTTGATAACCAAGTGTGAACAGAATTTCCTGTCACCTTAAAAAAAAAAAACTGGTGACATCAAAGACTCCACTTCCTTGAGTTTTGTCCATGAGTGTAGATTATAGATTAGAAACGCAGGATAATCAGACCAAATCCAAATAAATGAATAGTGTGTGTGTGACATTTTGGTAACAGCATTGTTACCATCATCAGACAATTAAGTACAATTCTGTAATGCTGTAACCGAAACAGCACACACTAATTAATTATTTATTTGAATTTGGTCTTATTACCTTGTGTTACCAAGTGTTATAACTCTGTAAAACTTCTGTAATAGCTGCTCAATAAAAGAATACTTTGCAACCCATTGAATGTAAATTTGTAAAACAAGAAGCACATGTTTTATTTCAGATATAATACAGTATAACCTCCATGTGAGGACACCTCTCTACAAAGGACAGTTTTCATCACTGAAATTATCATTTTTACTAATTAGCAACTCTCTGGTAAGAGAACACCTCTCCCTAAAGGACACTTTAGCTTTGCAACCAGATGTTGTCCTTTACAGAGAGTTTATTATACTGTACTTGAAAAACCTAAACAATTGCAATCAGTAATTTAAGGAAGAAAAAATTTTTTTGCAACAAGTTTCTTTTATTCTGCAATTTGGCAAGCTTTCAGGCGTTAACCTATCAGGCCGATTTCGCAAATATATATTGCGAAATCGGCCTGATGATAGGCTAACGCCTGAAAGCTTGCCAAATTGCAGAATAAAAGAAACTTGTTGCAAAAAAAATTTTTTCTTCCTTAAAATACTGTACTTGATTTATAATATTGAAATGTGCAGTACTCTCATCATCAATTTCTTTAAGTACAAAATTTAATCTAAAAACAAACCTACACCTCTCTGGATCAGGCACAATTTGGATTATAGATTGAAACACAAGATAATAGGACCAATTCTAAAAAAATAAATAGTTTGTGACATTTCGGGAAGTGTTGTTACCATTATCAGACAAAATTACCTTTTTTTAATAGACTTCAATGGACCTAAAAAGTTATTCTTGCTATGAGCTGAAGAAATTGAGTTTCTGATTCAGTACTTTTGTATGAAGATGGTAACAACACTGTCACCGAAACGTTACACACTATTTATTTATTTGGTCTTATTACCTTGTGTATACGCCTCTCTTGTACATAAAAAATATATGATAAAGCACAATTTGTTGTTGTTGTTGTTTCTTATCCCCTTGTGTAAAGATTACACAAATTCCATGAGTTCATGCTCCTCGAGCTGTTTTATGATGAGCAGCGGCCTCTCCCAAAGGTCCTGTTTAGTGCATCTAATGCAAGCCAAAATGTGTTCTGGAGCTGCAGGTACCAAACTACATTTTGGGCAAGTGGGATAAATTTTGTTATTATTTTCTATCTTCAATGGCTTGAGATGGCCTGTTCTAAATCTTGTTAGTGTTTTACTTCCAAGTACATACTTAATTGGGAATCCAATTTAAGACTCAAAAAAGAAGGCCCTCTACACCTGGCCAAAAGAAATGAATTTTTAAAATATAAAGTGGAAAAAAATTATTTAGCAGAAAAAATTTCTCCATGCAAACCACTACAAAATGTTATTTTTAATGCCACTTTAAATGAACCCACCAACAAACAATACCAAAATCCAGAATACTTAAAACAATTATCATTAGAAATAATTAATAACATTCCTAAAAATGCAATAACTATCTATACCGATGGTAGCAGAGACGAGCTAGGACACACTGGCAGTGGCTGTCTCATCAAAACCACAAATGGCATTGAGAAAATGAACAGAAGAAACCCAGATTTTTGCTCAGTCTTCAGATCAGAACTTATAGCCATCTATGAAGCCTTAAAATCCATCAGAAATACTAATTATCAAGATATCTGGATTCTTACTGATAGTAGAAGTGCCATACAACACTTGAGTCACACAGGGGAACTTAGAGACAAAGTAAGCAGGAACATAATTGGTTATCTCCAAAAACTCTCAAAAACCTCAAAAATTCACCTTCAATGGATACCCTCACACGTTGGCATTGAAGGCAATGAAGCTGCTGATGTGCTAGCGAAAAAAGGCACAAAAGAACCCTTGCCACAGAAAAATAAACTTACTTTTAAAGAAATAGAAACAATAGCCAAAACAAAAATAAACAAGAACTGGAGGATCCCACCTAAGCACAGTTGGTACAGTGGAGTGAACCCAGGAGGAGCTCTGAACATCAGAAATAGACAGCATCAATCATTTGGATTATAGATTATAGATACAAGAAAATAAGACCTAATCCAGATAAATTAATAGTGTGTGATGTTTTGGTAACAACACTGTTATTGAAATGTCACACACTATTAATTTATTTGAATTAGGTCTTATTTTCTTGCATGTATGTAAAAAATGTAAAGTGAAACCTCTCCACAGTAACCACACTACAAGGAACTGACCAGCGAGGTGGGCAAGGGTGAGGGTGGCGGGCTCGGCTGCAGTCCGGCTGGGACCTGTGGCGATGGTGAGCAGGGCTGGCAAGGTCCCGGGGCAGGCCAGCAGGGTCCGGCCGTAGTCGGAGGAGCGGGCAACCAACGAGGCCAGCAGCCCACATAGCTCTGCCTGGAGTTGAGGCTTGTTGCCGTCTGTCAGCTGAGCCACCAGGCCTGCCTCCTGGCCACACTTCCGGTACTATATTAGTTTACTAGGATGGCATGGCTAGCATTTTACCTTCTATATTGCATTATAAAAATAACTTTAATATATGATAAAGTACAATTTGGATTATAGATTATAATAAAAAAAGGAAATAAGGCCTAATCCAAATAATTTATTAGTGTGTGACGTTTCGGCAACAACATTGTCACCATGAGAAAAAATACCACAGCAAGTTCCTAAATAGTACTGTTATCAAGTGTTTAAACAGATAAGGAAGATAGCAGTACTATTTAAGAACTTGCTGTGGTATTTTTCTCATTTACTCTTTTGTCTGATGATGGTGACAATGTTGTTGCCGAAACGTTACACGCTAACTTTAATATATTTTTTTACTATTGCCCTCTGAATTTTTAACATGCCCTTCACTGAATGTAAATTTTATATACTGCCTCTCTTCAGAACATATATCTCAAATATTTTTTTTTTATAATTAAACCCTTCTGTTTCAATTACAGTCAAACTTCTTTAATTCAACACCCTAATGGGCTCAGCATTTTCATTTAAATAAAAACGTTTGATACAACAAGGTCTCCTCCAAACAACATTGAAGTTCTGAAGAGAGAGATTTCTCATCAGTGGTAGAATGGTGTTAATTTTGATCCACCCAGTGTGCCAGGTATCCCAGACTAGGGCTAGAGTTCAGCCACCACTACCACACTTCACTGGGCTTCATTAGAACTTCTCAAATATTCCTTTTGATAATCAAACCCTTCTGTTTGGAATAAATTACAGTCAAACTTCCTTTATTCAACACCCTAAGGGATAAGAATTTCCGGCTAAAATACAAGGAAAAGGCCTTATTGGGATTTTGCAAAATGGCTGAATTGGATTAGGAGTATTGAATTGAAGAGATTACGCTCTCTCTCCACCATACAACATTGAAAGAGAGGAATTGGTCAGTTGGACATTGCGGTATTGTTGCTAAGAGAGAGCCATTTGGATGAGGGGAACACCTAAAGGACACTATGGCAACTAAGTGTCCTTGAAACAGAGGTATAGGTCAGTTAGACATTGTGGAGAGATAGGTACCTGGATGAGGGGAACACCTAAAGGACACTATGGCAACTAGGTGTCCTTGAAACAGAGGTATAGGTCAGTTAGACATTGTGGAGAGATAGGTACCTGGATGAGGGGAACACCTAAAGGACACTATGGCAACTAGGTGTCCTTGAAACAGAGGTATAGGTCAGGTAGACATTGTGGAGAGAGTGGTACCTGGATGAGGGGAACACCTAAAGGACACTATGGCAACTAGGTGTCTATGAAGGAGAGGTAAGAGAGGTATAGGTCAGGTAGACATTGTGGAGAGATAGGTACCTGGATGAGGGGAACACCTAAAGGACACTATGGCAACTAGGTGTCTATGAAAGAGAGGTAAGAGAGGTATAGGTCAGGTAGACATTGTGGAGAGATAGGTACCTGGATGAGGGGAACACCTAAAGGACACTATGGCAACTAGGTGTCTATGAAAGAGAGGTAAGAGAGGTATAGGTCAGGTAGACATTGTGGAGAGATAGGTACCTGGATGAGGGGAACACCTAAAGGACACTATGGCAACTAGGTGTCCTTGAAACAGAGGTATAGGTCAGTTAGACATTGTGGAGAGATAGGTACCTGGATGAGGGGAACACCTAAAGGACACTATGGCAACTAGGTGTCCTTGAAACAGAGGTATAGGTCAGGTAGACATTGTGGAGAGATAGGTACCTGGATGAGGGGAACACCTAAAGGACACTATGGCAACTAGGTGTCCTTGAAACAGAGGTATAGGTCAGTTAGACATTGTGGAGAGATAGGTACCTGGATGAGGGGAACACCTAAAGGACACTATGGCAACTAGGTGTCCTTGAAACAGAGGTATAGGTCAGGTAGACATTGTGGAGAGATAGGTACCTGGATGAGGGGAACACCTAAAGGACACTATGGCAACTAGGTGTCCTTGAAACAGAGGTATAGGTCAGGTAGACATTGTGGAGAGAGTGGTACCTGGATGAGGGGAACACCTAAAGGACACTATGGCAACTAGGTGTCTATGAAGGAGAGGTAAGAGAGGTATAGGTCAGGTAGACATTGTGGAGAGATAGGTACCTGGATGAGGGGAACACCTAAAGGACACTATGGCAACTAGGTGTCTATGAAAGAGAGGTAAGAGAGGTATAGGTCAGGTAGACATTGTGGAGAGATAGGTACCTGGATGAGGGGAACACCTAAAGGACACTATGGCAACTAGGTGTCTATGAAAGAGAGGTAAGAGAGGTATAGGTCAGGTAGACATTGTGGAGAGATAGGTACCTGGATGAGGGGAACACCTAAAGGACACTATGGCAACTAGGTGTCTATGAAAGAGAGGTATAGGTCAGGTAGAGATTGTGGAGAGAGTGGTACCTGGATGAGGGGAACACCTAAAGGACACTATGGCAACTAGGTGTCTATGAAAGAGAGGTATAGGTCAGGTAGAGATTGTGGAGAGAGTGGTACCTGGATGAGGGGAACACCTAAAGGACACTATGGCAACTAGGTGTCCTTGAAACAGAGGTAAGAGAGGTATAGTTCAGGTAGACATTGCGGAGAGAGTGGTACCTGGATGAAGGGGAGCCCACAGAGGTCTGAGAGATTGGAGGGGGAGGAGGAGAGGCCTGGACTATCTGGGGCAGAAAACTTGGCCTCATGCTGCAACACACCCTTTCTCTCCATCTCTCCAACTAGTGAGAACATCAACAAAAAATGGCACAGGTTCTGAAATTATCAATGCTGGAGTGAAATTTGGAGTTCCCTTTAAATTACTTCAAACACTAGAGAGATGACTATTTTATTGACATTCAGTCAACAATCAGTACACAAGGGGGGTCGGTAGAAGGATGGTCTAAACCGTTGATTTTCGACCTGGGTTAAATTCCCGCATTGGGCACTAAAAAAAAAATGCTCAAATGGCCCCTGATTCTTGCAAAAGTCCAACCCCACCAGCGAGTACAAGTAGCCAAACGGGGTCTGGCACATTTGTAAGTGCAAAGTCGAACTGCTTTTCACATGTGTAGACATGTGGTGCATTTACAGTAAAAACAGTCGCCTACTTTTACCCACCATGATTATCATGGCCTGTACCACGTGTACTAGGGATAAGCAAAAAATAAATAAATAAATCAGTACACACACAAAATTCAACAAAAACAATTAAAAATATTTACACTAGACTGATGCCTCACTGAAGGGAAGTCTGGGATTTCTCAGCTTCACAAGCAGCTCTGAATTTGGCCAGCTTCTGGCTTATATAGTGGTTGCTGTTCAATCATACTTTTACTACTCATTCAATACTTTTTTGTCTGATAATGGTAACAACATTGTTACCGAAACGTCACACACTATTTATTTGGATATGTTCTTATTACCTTGTGCATACAGAACTCTATTTTTTACGATATAAAGACTTTGGTGTTGTACTTAGAATAATATCCCTCCATCAATTCCTGTGTTATCACTACTGATACTGTCATGGTGATTGGTTGCTATCATTCATGACTCAGCAATTCTCAACCTGCAACCCCAAAACACATCATTGACTGTATTCACTCATCCATTGATGAGCTCTACTCTTCCCCGGCAGACACCATCAAAAGTCTCAAGCTTTTACAAGCTTGATACCTTAGTGTAATTGAGTGGAGATAAGAAAGAAGAAGATATGTCATAGTGCAGTCCAACACAAAGAGGAATATTGGGGACACAGGATAAGGTGTCCTGCCATGTTGATGACCCTCCACATGTTGACTTCCATTCACTGCTGCGGTATCGGATAACCTTCAGCCCCATAACATCCTGTTTACAGCCTGCTGCCAGGCTTCTTCCTGATTCTGTGCCATCTTGTCTCAACTGAACACAACCTCCAGGCAAAAAAGCCTGTCTGCACAGCTGTATTCTTACATCATCTCCTGTCAAACTGTCAGAAAGACAGACTGTTTGCTTCACTAAATCTTATAATGGAATCTATATTTTGTATGGTAAAAAAATATCTAAAAATCTCTTGGATTAGGTCTTATTTTCTTGTATTATAATCTATAATCCAAATTGTGCCTTATCATATAAAGGTGAAAATATCAAGCTTCCGGGGATAAGTTTCTTTTAAAACATTTTAATTTCATAAATCTCTAGCTTTCGGGAACAAAAGCCCTTCTACAGGAGAAAACACACTGCAATAGATCACCAATAGGACAAACTCCGCCTTTGCCGGTCCCAAGCCCGGATGGAGGAGGGGGAGCCGTAACAAGCTCACTAAAAAACCTGGGCTCAACTGGCCCGGCTGATAGTACCCTGTAAGGGCTCCTAATCCAGGGATACAGGATGAGCAGCGTTTGTACTCCATGTTAGGAGCGGCTGCACATGGCGTCTGTTCCTCATGTCTTTGGCCATTTCTTTTAGAGCTAAGTCGGCCTGCCACTGAGTAGTGCTCCCAGTCTTAATGACAAAGGCAGACACATTCTACTTCACCCAGTCATGATGGATGTCAAGTCTTAAGTTCTACAAGCTTGATACCCTAATATGATTGAGTGGAGATAAGAAAGAAGAAGACCAATAAGAGTTAAAATATGATCAAATACAGAGAGAGTGCTTATATAGTTATTTGGATGGAAATTTACTGCTGGTCTATGGTAAGGCTGGGTATGTTTGAATCAATCTGAACACAGAAAATTGAAGTCTCTGATACTCCATATCATAGTACACAGTAGTGGGATTTTTCTATATACAGTGTGTAGAACCTCCCTGTAAAGGACAACACCTAATTGCAAAGCCAAAGTCACCTTTAAGGAAAGGAGTACTCTTACCTGAAAGTTTCTAAATAGTAAAAATTGTCATTTTGCAAAAATGAAAACTGTCCTTTGTGGAGAGGTATCCACTAGCCGGGTGTTTACTAAAGGGAGGTTCTACTGTATACAGAGAGAGAATACCAAAAACTACCTTTCAAATAATTACCTTCACTGTAATCTTACAGTAGAATAAAAGAAAATAATAATCCTACAGTAGAAATTCCAACACGGATGTGTCATTTCTATGGATAGCACAGGAAAATGCTGGTGACAGCTAGACTTTGTGTTAGAACTTATGGGTAGAATCTGTGAGCTAAGAGATGTAAATCTAGTGTTTCCCCTCCATAGAGGATGAGAAAGTCTCTAGTCAAAGGACACAGAGGTAACATTTTATAAAGGGGATCTAAAAGCTGGGATTGTTTCCAACAAAGGGAGTCAACAACAAAGTGGGCAATAAAGAAGAATTCTCCAGGAAACAAAGGACAATTTACAATGAGGGAAACAAGCCCTTCAAATAATAAAGACTTGATGGCCCATTGCCATTGGAGTAAGGTTTCCCAGCTGCTCTGTGATGGGGACTTGGAATCTGAGACAGCTGGTGAGGAAACTTTTCAACACACAGCCCTAGGGATTGCATGTTTTGGATGAATTAAAGTCAGTGTTGAAATTAAAAGTAAAAAAATAGGCTAATTGATAAGTGAAAAAACTGGTTAAATTGAAATAAATGTTGAATTATAGTCAGTGTGTTTTAGCAGAGGCACTGCTGATATATTGTTGACAACCAGGATCTGGCACACTTGTAAGTGCAATAGTCAAACCACTTTCTACATGTGTTTTTTTTTTTTGCTTATCCCTAGTATACGTTATACAGGCCATGATAATCATGGTGGGTGTTGTATCTTTTATACGGGTTCATTTACCTTTAGCTTTATATATATTTAATATAGTTACAGCCTTTATGTATATAGACAATTAATATACCGCCGTGCTAGAACAATTATATATTTATTATGCGGCGTTGTTTACATACTGTGTTGCCAGATCTTTTGTAGCACAGATTATAACTATATACAACATGTTCCCCTTTTAATTAAAGTCCGGGGTCGAATCTTTTCGGAGGCTTTACCACACGTCCACTTCTAGTGGTGTAGGCAGTGCCTCCTTCATTGTAGTTTCCTATGGGAGTTGAAGTGGATGGGGCCAACTCTTCAGGACTGAGGTTCAGGCGGGGAAATTCTCCTGGTTCCCTTTGACCACTGGACTCCGATGATGTCGAGGGGGCTGGATCCAATTGGGGCGATGACTGGCTGCTCCTTCTCTGTCCAACAGGATAACTTCTGGGCCGTAGGTGAACTCTGTTCCGTTTTAACATTCGGCCCTCGTTGTTCTGAATGATGTATGATCGAGGCTGGTTGGCTTCTCCAATGATGGTAGCTGGTCTCCAGGCATTGCTAGTTTTGGCATTTACCTGTTCACCAGAACTCATTTTAGGAAGTATTTTGGCATTTCGGTCATAATATTCTTTCATCTTATATTGATTTTCCCTCTTCTGCTGTAGAATGTTTTCCGTGCTAATGAAAGCAGGTTTTAGCTTTGTGGTTTTCATTGGGATCAAGGTTCTCAAGTTTCTTCCCATTAGCATCTGAGCTGGGGACGGTAGATTATTTGACGGAGTTGTTCTCAGGGCTATTAAACACATATAAGGATCAGTGTTGTCTTGACGGCATTTCTTAAGTTGCTTCTTTACTGTTTGCACCATCCTCTCCACTAATCCGTTTGATTTTGGGTATCCTGGGCTAGAGGTTTTATGTTCTATGTCCCATTCATTTGTAAAATTAGTAAAGTCTTGTGATGTAAATGGTGGTCCATTATCAGTGATGATGATCTCTGGAATCCCATGTCTTGCGAAGGTAGATTTCAAAACTGGTAGAATCTCTTTTGCTGAAGTTGATGCTACCTTGATGACTTCAGGAAAGCTGCTGTAGTAGTCTACTATTATTATGAATACAGATTGGTCTAGATAGAAGAAATCAATAGCTACTTTTTGCCAAGGGTAGTCTGCTATTTCGTGAGGTATAAGTGGTTCTTTCCTTTGCGAAGGTTGTGATTCTTGACAAATTCTACACTTATAAACCATCTCTTCTATTTCTCTATCCAGTCCAGGCCAATAAATAGCTTCATGTGCTCTGTTTTTACAAGCAGAGATCCCTTGATGAGACATGTGTAGTGTTTGCAAGATGCTTTCCCTTTGGACTTTAGGGATGACAAGTCTTTGTCCTCTACAAATCAGGTCTTTCCATATATATAGTTCTTCTTTACAATGCCAGTAGGGCTTAACAGCATAGTCCACACTTTTCTTATGAATAGGCCACCCATTCAGTATATGATCCCTTAATTTTATCATTTCTTCATCTGACTCCATATCTCTGAGAATTTCCTGGTATCTTTTAGTGGTCACCTTCAGATTTAGAGTCATAATGGTGTTCTGGAGATCCAGATCTGAGGTGTCGATGGTTTCCTCTGAAATTGAATCTCTAGATAGAGTGTCTGCGGTGTGAATCACTTTTCCTGGTACGTATTCTAAATTAAAATCATATCGCATCAATTTCAAGACCAGTCTTTCAAGTCTTGGAGATAATTCCTCTAGTGGCTTTTTTAGTATAGCCAACAAGGGTTTATGATCCGTCTGGGCTGTGAACTTTCTTCCATACAAATGATAGTTAAATCTTTGGCATCCATACCAGAGAGCTAAGAGCTCCTTTTCAATCTGGGCATATTTTTTCTGAGTGTTATTCAAGGATGCGGATGCAAAAGCGATGGGTCTTCCCTCTTGCATCAAGACAGCCCCAAGCCCATGTTGACTAGCGTCCACTGAAAGTGTTACCTTCCGATGGGGGTCAAAGAGGCCAAGAACTGGAGGATTTGATACCAAATTTTTCAGCTCAATGAATTCTTTTTCTATAGCCTCATTCCATGTCCACAGGGTATTCTTTTTTAGGAGTTGTCTTAACAAGACAGTTTTATCTGCCAGATTATGCATGAATTTAGCTAGATAGTTCACAGTTCCCAAAAATCTTTGAAGAGATGTCTTGTCCATTGGTCTTTTTATTTTTTGTATTGCTTCTAATTTAGATGGATCTGCAGAGATGCCATTCTTGGATATCTCATGTCCAATGAACTTAACTTTTTCTTGGGCCAGTTGCATTTTATTGAATTCAAACTTTAAATTATTTTTTCTAGCAATTTCCAAAACCGTAATCAGTCTACTATTGTGCTCCGTGAGGGAGTTTCCGTATATTATTATATCATCCATGTATACTTTTACTCCTTCAATTCCTGTAAACATACTTTGCATTTTTTTATAGAAAACTTCTGGAGCGCTGCAAATACCAAAAGGTAACCGATGGAATCTGTAATACCCATAAGGTGTAGCCATTGTTAAAAGGCTAGATGACTTTTCGTCTAACTTGATTTGCCAAAAGGCTGACTTAGCATCAAGTACTGTATAGATGGGTGATTTTGTGATATCAGCAATGATGCCTTCAGGGGCAGGAAGTTGACGATATTCCATTTTAATCCATGGATTTAGCTCTCTAGGGTCCATACAGATACGAACCTTTCCATTTGGTTTCTTAATGATTACCATCGGGTGTGCCCACTCTGCTGGTTGGTCTACCTTTGAGATGATCTTTTGTTCCTCCATCGATTTTAGCTCCATCTCAACTGGTTTTTTCAGTGCAAACGGAATTCGGCGAGCTAACTGAATTCTTGGATGTGCATTTTCTCTCAGGATCACAGAATGCTCTCCAGGGAGTGTTCCGATCTCATCAAAGACATCTCTGTAGGACTCTATTATCTTTGTAGGTGAAGCATCCATCTTTGTCCTAGTATGGTCCTGTTCCAACGACTCTACTTTTAATATCAGCTCTAATTTTTTACACGCTGCCAATCCCAAAATTGGTGGAGCTGGCAAATCCACGACTAGAAATTCAAGGATTTCAGATTTTTTCCCAGAGGTACATGAAGCCTTGCATTTGCCCCTTATTGGTACTTTTTCTCCTGTATATGAATAAACCGCAATCCCAGTTGGATATATGCAGGGTTTATTTTGCCAATTTTTAATGGTATCCAATGGCAGGATGTTCACCTGTGCTCCTGTGTCTAATTTAAAATTAACTGAATTATTCTCCACCAAGATTATTTTAGTCCACTCTAGACCAGTAATGCTATCTAGGGATAGGTATTGAAGACACATTTCTTCTTCCTCTTCCGCTCTTTCCTCCAACATATGCACTCTGTTCCTACACATTTTAGCAAAATGGTTTGGTTTTTTACATGAATTGCATATTTTACCATATGCAAAACATTTACCATATGGATGTCTGGAACCACAATTTTGGCAAACCTTTGCATTAGGATGTTCCTCAGATACATTAGGTTTTCTACCAACTGGATATTTGAAATTCTTTTTATATTGCTTTTTATATTTTATAGAATGTAAATCAACATCTTCTCTAGTTATATTTTTTACTTGTTGTCTAGAAGTTTCAGTAGCTCTTCCCAAGTCTATGGCTTTAGCTAAAGAAAGATCAGGATCTTGTAGCATCCTTTCTTTTAAAGCTTTGTCTTTAATTCCAATTATAATTCTATCTCTGACCAAGGAATCTGCAAGCTCTCCAAATTCGCAGTCCATGCTTTTATTTTTCAATTCAGTTACATAGTCATCAAAATTCTGATTCTCCCCTTGTTCCGTTGTAAAAAACTGGTACCTCTTATAGGTTGTGTTTTTATATGGTTTAAAGTGTCCATCAAACAGTTCAAGTATATCCGGAACAGTCGGAGAGGCATCAGTTTCTTGTATTTTAAATGTAGAGTATATATCTAGGGCTAACTCACCAATATTATAGAGTAGAATAGCCCTTTGTCTTGGAATAGATTTTTTATCTATTTCTGTGGCTATGTAAAACATTTGGAATCTCTTTTTCCATTTACCCCATGCTTCTGATGGGTTTGTTCCAGGCACAAATGGCTGCAAACTATTCCCGGTACTCGAGGCCATTTTTCAACGTGTTAGGCTTAATTGATATTTGAAATTTTACTTATCTTTCAAAATCCCGGCGCTGCCACCATGTTGTATCTTTTATACGGGTTCATTTACCTTTAGCTTTATATATATTTAATATAGTTACAGCCTTTATGTATATAGACAATTAATATACCGCCGTGCTAGAACAATTATATATTTATTATGCGGCGTTGTTTACATACTGTGTTGCCAGATCTTTTGTAGCACAGATTATAACTATATACAACAGTGGGTAGTTAGCGACTGCTTTTACTGTAAGTGTACCACATGTCTACACATGTGAAAAGCAGTTTGACTTTGCACTTACAAATATACCAGAGCCCTGTTTGGTTACTTGCACTCGCTGGCGGGGTTGGACTTTTGCAAGAATCGGGGGCCATTGGAGCATTTTTTTTTTTTAATTCAGAAAAAAGTGCACAATGCGGGAATCGAACCCGGGTCGTAGCGGTCGAAAACCAACAGTTTTGACCATCCTTTCACCGACCCCCCTAAAATGATGGCATACTTGTGTTATGTGTTATCAAACCCACCAAGGAAACAAGTAGAAGAACAGTTAAAGTTTGTGTAAAACAATGTTGTCTTATTTAAAGAAACACTCTCTCCGTGGATATTTTTATAGCACATTGATCATAACCACAAGGTAAAATAAGACCAAATTGTGCCTTGTTTTGATGACCTAAGTATTAATGATATCATGTCTTACAATGATAATGCACAATTTGGATTATATACACAAGGTAATAAGACCAAATCCAAATAAATAAATAGTGTGTGACGTTTCGGTAACAGTGTTGTTACCATTTTCAGACAAATTCAGTATTCATTCAGTACTTTTGTCTGTAGATGGTAACAACGCTGTTACAGAAACATCACACACTATTTATTTATTTGGATTTGGTCTTATTACCTTGTGTTTGAAGTAGAAGAACAGTTAAAGTTTGTGTAAAACAATGTCGCCTTATTTAAAGAAACACTCTCTCCGTGGATATTTTTATAGCACATTGATCATAACCACCAGGTAAAATAAGACCAAATTGTGCCTTGTTTTGATGACCTAAGTATTAATGATATCATGTCTTACATTGATAATGCACAATTTGGATTATAGATTATAAACACAAGGTAATAAGACCAAATCCAAATAAATAAATAAATAGTGTGTGACGTTTCGGTAACAGTGTTGTTACCATTTTCAGACAAATTCAGTATTCATTCAGTACTTTTGTCTGTAGATGGTAACAACGCTGTTACAGAAACATCACACACTATTTATTTATTTGGATTTGGTCTTATTACCTTGTGTTTGAAGTAGAAGAACAGTTAAAGTTTGTGTAAAACAATGTCGCCTTATTTAAAGAAACACTCTCTCCGTGGATATTTTTATAGCACATTGATCATAACCACCAGGTAAAATAAGACCAAATTGTGCCTTGTTTTGATGACCTAAGTATTAATGATATCATGTCTTACATTGATAATGCACAATTTGGATTATAGATTATAAACACAAGGTAATAAGACCAAATCCAAATAAATAAATAAATAGTGTGTGCCGTTTCGGTAACAGCATTGTTACCATTTTCAGACAAATTAAGTATTCATTCAGTACTTTTGTTTGTAGATGGTAACAACGCTGTTACAGAAACATCACACACTATTTATTTATTTGGATTTGGACATATTACCTTGTGTATATGTCTTACATTGGCTTAGATTATGTGTTCCCTAAATGCCCCCAATCCAACAGCTCTCCACTATTAAGAAAAAGGTATCTCCTTATCGTGCAACTAAAGTTGCTGATGGTTTGTATCATCTGTCGGATTAAATATCAACTAATCATTGATTTTTAACTATTCCAGAATTGGCCAAGTACCCATTCTGATTAACCAAGAAAAGCTAACCATGTACACATTTCGGGTTGTTGACCCTCATCAGTATGGTGCAATCTGTACCTTAACAACCAGTAAAATCTCTCCACTACATTACAAGGTAAAGACAAACTTACCTTGAAAGCACTCGCCTGTTGGCCTGGCATGACTTAAGGCACTTCTGCAACACCATCAGCAGTGACATAAGTCCTGGCATACACTCTAGGGTCGCTTTCAAACATAACTGATACATGATAAGGCACAACTTGGATTATAAACATAACGTCTTTTCTTCTTCTTCTTTCTTATCTCCACTCAATCACACTAAGGTATCAAGCTTGTAAAGCTTGAGATTTTTGATGGTCTCTGCCGGGGAAGAGTAGAGCTCATCAATGGATGAGTCAATACAGTCAAACATAACGTAATAAGAACAATTCCAAATACAGTTAAAACTGTCTATAGCACCCCTCTAAATAGCACCCGATTTTAAATACGTAGTACCAAGCAATTTACATTAAAAGTGACCTGCCTATAGCACCCCCTCTCTATAGCACCCTATTTTGATGAGTCCCAAGAGGGGGCGACAGGTTTAACTGTATATAAATAGTGTGTATAGTTTCGGTAAGTGCATTACAAGAAAATAAGATCACAAATCCAAATATATTAACATTTAAAATATATTAATCTATTTATAGATTTGGTCTTATTTTCTTGTGTTTATAATCTACTAGCCGAATGACCCGGGCAACGCCCGTGTTTTACCCAATTGAATGTTTTGATTCAAATACTATTTGTTACAATTATAAATTGGCGCCTTAATTAATTGCATATGTTAGTTAATAACTATAGCCTATGTGCTTTATCTGTCTATGTACTGTTGGCTTCCGTAGGCGTCTCTTACTGGGAAAAAGAAAGAGAGGATTCCATTTGGTTATTATCTAATATATGCATTTATTTAGGGAGCGACCCGCTCCAACACAATAGTTAAATGGCGAGTGGGGGGGGGGGGGGGGGGGGGGGGCAAAGGTGGCGTGACCGTAGCCAACCAATAGGAGGGCGCCATTCCAAAAAAAAGCAAACGGTGACAGAGTTGATTGATTAGGAGATGAGGAATGACGCTCGTAACTGTATATAGAATAATACAAATTGTGTCTTATCAGGTAAGTGCATTGTTATCATCATCAGACAAAAGTCCTGAATGAGAAATATCACAGCAGGCTTTACTTGATAACAGTAGCTATTTTAAAAGCATGTTGCGATATATTTTCTCATTCAGTACTTTTGTCTGAAGATGGTAACAACGCTGTTACTGAAACCTCACACACTATTCATTTGGATTTGGTCTATTACCTTTTGTTTTATGATTGATACAGTAGAACCTCTCTGTAAAGAATGCCTAGTTGCAGAGTCAAAGTGTCCTTTATATAAAGGTGTCCTCTAGCACGAGTGTCCTCTCATGGATGTTTTATTGTGTTATTATTTTTGAGACCTTTAAAAAAATTATTTTTTTCTTTGCTATGAAAAAAACTGTGTGAAATAGAATCTTTAATTGCTACTTAACCCTTTCTGTAGTTCTGATAAGGCACAATTTGGATTATAGATTATAAACACAAGGTAATAAGTTTGGAGATTCAGTACTTTTGTCTGAAGATGGTAACAACGCTGTTACCAAAACGTCACACACTATTTATTTATTTGGATTTGGTCTTATTACCTTTTGTTTTCTGTAGTTCTGTTCATAGAACGGGCATTCGTCTGAATAAATAGCATTTAACAAGAGTGAATGCATACAGAACAAACAAGTAAACTTTTTTTATTCAACCGGCTCAAAACCAACTATAATTCAACCATTTTCTTGTTCAAATCCCAATCAGTCTATTTACTTTTTAACTAACTCCGCCTTTGCCGGCCCCAAGCCCAGATGAAAAAGGAGGAGGGGGAGCAGTAACAAGCTCACAAAAAACCTGGGCTCAGCTGGCCCGGCTGATAGTACCCTGTAAGGGCTCCTAATCCAGGGATACAGGATGAGCAGCGTTTGTACTCCATGTTAGGAGCAGCTGCACATGGCATCTGTTCCTCATGTAAGAGTTGGCCATTTCTTTTGGAGCTAAGTCGGCCTTCCACTGAATAGTGCTCCCAGTCTTAATGACAAAGGCATTCTACTTCACACAGTCATGATGGTTGTCAAACAGACACCATCAAGGGTCACAACTTGATACCCTATTATGATTGAGTGGAGATAAGGAAGAAGAAGAAGACTTTTTAACTGACTCTAATTCAGCATCGACTTTCATTCAGCCAAAAATTCTTATCCCTTATGGTGTTGAATTAAAGAAGTTGGAGACTGATAAGGCACCATTTGTATTATAGATTATTACTACAAGGCAATAACCATATTATTAACTGTATTGGATCATCCATTGATAGGCTCTATTGCTCCCCAGCAGACACCATCAGAAGTCTCAAGCTCTAAAAGATTAATACCTTAATATGATTGAGTGGAGGTAAAAAAGAAGAAGACCAAATCCAATGATATATTAGATTTGGTCTTATTACCTTGTCAAAGTTGGAGAATGTATATAGAACAGCATACACGGCTAAAATGATCAGATAACAACAGGTATGAATACAAGAAAACTTTGGGTCAAATTCTGCCATCATACCTCTTCACCTAAATTCCAACTTGTGCCATCAATAAAAGTGACTAACCCCAGAGGCTGCAATCAACACAGTCATAGTGGAGGGGGGGGAGAGACTGTGTGAACCACGGGGAGAGTCCAATCAATGACTCAGCCTATGGAACAATGGACCCACAACTCTGCCAAGTTGAATGACTCCCATAGAAAATAATGTTTCCTTAGAATCTGTAATCCTCTAGCTGGGGCCAAATCAGCTGCTTCGTGGCTCTGACAGTTGGAGATAAAGCTGCAATTTTTAAGTGTTATTTAAAATTTTGGCAATCATGGGTTAAGCTATGCTGATACCAATTCTATATAGCAGGTTTTAAAACAGGTTTACTTACAGTAATCAATTTGGATTATAGATAAGACCACAAAGTAAAAGGATTCAAATCCAAATTAGTAAATTACTTTTTGGTGACAGCATTAAACACATTTTGGATTTGGTCTTATTACCTTGCCATTCAGTACTTTTGTCTGAAGATGGTAACAACGCTGTTACCGAAACGTCACACACTATTTATTTATTTGGATTTGGTCTTATTACTTTGTTGATTCAGTACTTTTGTCTGAAGATGGTAACAACGCTGTTACCGAAACGTCACACCCTATTTATTTATTTGGATTTGGTCTTATTACTTTGTTGATTCAGTACTTTTGTCTGAAGATGATAACAACGCTGTTACCGAAACGTCACACACTATTTATTTATTTGGATTTGGTCTTATCCAAATTGTGCCTTATCATATTTGGATTTTTGGTTTTGTCACCTTGTGGTGTAAGAGTTTATTGTTATTTCTCTCCCCCCCCCGTTTTGATATAAACTCATGGACAAAACATGAGTAAGTTGTACCTTTTAGCATGTAGATTCAGACCACTATCTCATCAATGGATGAGCCAATGATGTGATTTGGGGTTGCAGTTTAACACTTAGTACATAGAGAATGGGAAAACCTTGCAACCATTCTGGAAATTCATTGTTCGTAAATGACAAGACTTAAGTCTGGAAATCATGGACTGCTGTTCCCTTGGGAGGACAGAATTGGTGCTTGTATAGGTTCCTAAAGAGGGTGAAGCTATGAGCAAGAACAACACTCACAGTATATCAGACCAGTTGCACAAGGATGAGCAACCAGTTGATAAGCTTGTATGGCCCCAACAACATATACATGAGGATGTACAACCTTCCTCTGTAAAGGACAAGATACTGAGCAAAAACACAAGGTAATAGGACCAAATAAATAAATAGTGTGTGACGTTTTGGTAACAACGTTGTTACCGAAACATCACACACTATTTATTCATTTGGATTTGGTCTTATTATCATGTGTTAATAATCTATATTCCAAATTGTGCCTTATCATACTGAGCAAAAGTTTCCTTTAGATGTTCTCTTACTGGAGAATAGCTAGTTGACAGGTCGTTTTTAACAATGAAAACGGTCCTTTATAGAGAGGCATCCTCTCTTGGAAGCTTTACTGCATTGATAAAGCTCAATTTGGATTATATATTATATAGCTACAAGAAAATAAGACCTAATCCAAATAAGTTAATAGTGTGTGACGCTTTGGTAACAGCGTTGTTACCATCATCAGACAAAAGTTATGAATGTCTTTTGTTTCAGTCTTTTGTCTGATGATGGTGACAACGCTGTTACCGAAACGTCACACACTATTAACTTATTTGGATTAGGTCCTATTTCCTTGTCCTACTGCATTATTAATTATTTCAATTACAGTAGAACCTCCCTGTAAAAAACACATAAATGCAGAGCCAAAGTGTCCTTTAGGGAGAGGTGTCCTCTTACCAGAGAGTTGCTAAATAGTAAAAATTTGCAAATGAAAACTGTCCTTTGTGGAGAGGTGCCCGTTAGCAGGGAGGTTCTACTGTATTATTGTTCTCTGTGTAAAACATAGAACCCATCATAATCTACTGTTTAAATTGCTCTAGTCAAAGACTCACCAACACCCAGTCGTGATGGACGTCAAACAGACACCATCAAGGGTCACAACTTGATACCATAATATGATTGAGATAAGAAGAAGAAAGACCAAGACCAACACACATTATCCCAAATTCTCCTATCAGCATCTTTAACCATTGCATCAATATCCTTGGAAGAAAACATTCTGATAAATAGTTTAAGAAATAAATCTAATTCCAACCCAGAAACCTTAATAGCAAAACCAAAAGGTTAAAACACAGTGTGTTAGAGAGAAAATAATTACCAATTAAAGGGAGCAACCTTTTCATGGCTAAGAAAGGATCAATGAGAGGCCGTTACAGGATTATTAACTTTATATATATTGTGGGGGGTCGGTGGAAGGCTGGTTAAACCGTTTGGTTTTCGACCACTACGACCCGGGTTCGATTCCCGCATTGGACACTTTTTCTGTTTAAAAAAAAAATGCTCCAATGGCCCCCGATTCTTGCAAAAGTCCAACCCCACCAGCGAGTGCAAGTAACCAAACGGGGCTCTGGCACATTTGTAAGTGCAAAGTCGAAATGCTTTTCACAAGTGCAGACATGTGGTGCACTTACAGTAAAAGCAGTCGTAAACTACCCACCATGATTATCATGGCCTGTACCACGTGTACTAGGGATAGACAAAAAAATATATATATATATATATATATTGTGAGAAATAGTACAAAACTGAAATTGACTGGGATCAGGTGGATCAATCAAAATTACACATAATGTGCATTAGTATAGGTAAGAATCACAAGGTAACAAATAAGTAAAATTTTACATAACATTTCTGTATCACCGCTGTTACACTGAAATGTAACATATAATTTACTTTTTTCACCGGTTCTGTCCTTCCAAGAGAACAACAGTCTTTGATTTCCAGACTTTAGTCTGGTCATCTACGGACAATTCTTCTTCTTCCTTATCTCCACTCAATCATATTAGGGTATCAAGTTATGACCCTTGATGGTGTCTGTTTGACAACCATCATGACTGGGTGAAGTATAATGCATCTGCCTTTGTCATTAAGACTGGGAGCACTACTCAGTGACAGGCTGACTTAGCTCCAAAAGAAATGGTCGCCTCTGACATGAGGAACAGACGCCATGTGCAGCTGCTACTAACATGGAGTACAAACGCTGCTCATCCTGTATCCCTGGATTAGAAGCCCTTACAGGGTACTATCAGCCGGGCCAGCTGAGCCCAGGTTTTTTTAGTGAGCTTGTTACTGCTCCCCCTCCTCCTTTTTCATCCGGGCTTGGGACCAGCAAAGGTGGAGTTAATCTACAGACAATGACTTTCCAGAAAGGTTGCAAGGTTTTCCCACTATGTACTAAGTGCAATTCTCAACCTGCAACCCCAAAACACATTATTGACTCATCCATTGATGAGCTCTACTCTTCCCCGGCAGACACCATCAACAAGCTTTACAAGCTTGATACCCTGATATGATTGAGTGGAGATAAGAAAGAAGAAGAAGATTTACCTTTTTAGATTTGGTCTTGTTACCTTGTGATTAATTGGAATTTCGAAAATGGCTCAATTATGATGGGTGTTGAAATAAAGAGGCTATACTCCATAGGTATAAATACGTAGCATGAAAAATGCGTTAATAGTAGAGCCTCTTTCTAAAGGACACCTAGATGCAGAGTCAAAGTGTCCTTTAGAGAGAGGTGTTCTCTTACTAGACAGTTGTTAATTAGTAAAACTGGTAATTTTTGCGATGAAAACTGATCTTTGTTGAGAGGTGTCCTCTTACCGGAGAGTTGTTCTACTGTATAATAAATGTGACAAATTGCAATAGTATAAGGCCCTCAAATATTGAAAGTGAATAATTACCAAAGTTATTCAAACTAATAATCACATCTTGATTCCTTGGTTCTGTTATCAAACCCACTGCACCCTTTGGGGATTTCTTATTCTTTTTGTACAAGATCAAATTGTGTGATTTGGCATTCAGAAATGAAATGGTTTTTTTAGAAGAAAAAAAAAAGATTTGAAGATGTTGCTCTCATCTGAGATGGTGAAGTAATAAATCTAACCAACAAAATAATTAAAACTGTGTTTATTGTCTTGAGAAATGTGTGATAGACTTTCACTGAGGGGCAGTTGAGGACTCTAATTTCTTCTTCTTGTTGGACCTGGTGATGGGGGCGTTGGGGTTGAGTCCGGTGTAGAAGGTCTTGATGAGGTTGATTGCCTCCTCCGCCCGGACCCCCTTAGTGATGGCAAGTTCCCCGTCGTAGGCAGCCATGTGGTGGATATCCAGTACTGATCCGCAGCCTCCAAATTTGTCATTGCTGCAGCCATAAATCAGGTTGCGCACACCAAGCTTCCTGAGGGCTGCCAGACAGAGGATGCAGGGCTCTACAGTGGCTATGACAGTCATTTCTCGGAATATTTGCTCTGCCTTCTCCTTACTGTTGGCCTCCAGCACCTGGTCAATACAGTTTAGCTCTGCGTGCCGTGTT